TCTTCCTGTCATCCTGTCCTACTGTCCTCTTGTCTACTGTCATCCTGTCATCCTGCCCTACTTTCATCCTGTCCTCTTGTCCTCCTGTCCTCCTGTCCCCTTGTCCTCCTGTCTTCCTGTCCTCTTGTCTTCCTGTCCTCTTGTCCTCCTGTCTTACTGTCCTCCTGTCCTCTTGTCCTCCTGTCTTCCTGTCCTCCTGTCTTCCTGTCCTCCTGTCTTCCTGTCCTCTTGTCTTCCTGTCCTCTTGTCCTCCTGTCTTACTGTCCTCCTGTCCTCTCGTCCTCCTGTCTTCCTGTCATCCTGTCCTCCTGTCTTCATGCCCCTATCTGCCCGGGAGGAGATCTGTAGACGTGTGATCCAGCCTGCTTTGTTCTGTTTTGTGGATCTTTGCTCTCAGAATACACGATACTGTCTCTCTGTTGTGTGGACGGTTCAGATATAAATAGTACTTAGTTGGGTGTTTATACCTTTGTTATGTTGATGCTTCTTTGGCTGTTTCTATGGAGTTCCTCCGCACCTTTGGTGTCCACTGAAGAAAATTAGCTTTTGCTACAGGGGTGCCCCCCCCCCCCCCCCACAGTACTTTTTTCTGCCACTAGATGTCCTCATTCTGATGGCCAGCATCATTCTGCTGACTTCCTCTCAACCCGGATCATCCCAGACCCACCCCCAGCCTGTGACAGAACAGTGAAAGGAGAAGCAGCACAATGTTGAGCTAATCTCTCTGAAACTCTGCTTTCTCCTCCAATCACCATGCTTCTTTTCAGCACATGAACTGATTGGCTCCTTGTGCTGCTTCCTCCTCCCACACCCTAGGCCTGCTGTAGAGGGGAATGCAAAAGGCTGATACCGGGTCACATTCAGATACTTATAGTGCTTGTATTAAAAATAGACATGTAATGATATATTAATGATTACAGAGCTGCATTTATTTGTGTCTTTTATACCACAATAAAATCACAACAATGTTTTTATAAACTGAGATCCATTATCAGGAGCTGTGAAGGCTCATTGTATTGACTGCTTAGTGGTCTTTGTGAACCTGTCTCACCACTCTCTCTGCTTCTCCCTCACGCAGCCATATTACTCCACCAGAGTCAATGCTGCTGAAATCGAGAGCCGCATGAAAGAATTAGACAAGAAGTCAGAAAAGGAGGAGGCAGCCAAAGCCGGATTCTGGGAGGAGTTTGATGTAAGTCTTACACAAGCAGGCTTCTTCAATACAGTTTACAAAATGTCCTCATACAAGAGTCATGTGTGTGCTTCTTGTAGCTTGGTGAGCCTTGTGTATTTCTTTCAGATCTGTTCAGTAATCCAGTGTGAGACTTGGAGCTTCCTGTAATAAAGACCGCTCACTGCTGGTCTCCCTCCTTGTGCAGGGTGACTGGTCTTGTCTCCGCCCCCTCCTGTAATAAAGATTGCTCACTGCTGATCACCCTCCTTGTGCAGGGTGACTGGTCTTGTCTCCGCCCCCTCCTGTAATAAAGACCGGTCACTGCTGCTCTCTCTCCTTGTGCAGGGTGACTGGTCTTGTCTCTGCCCCCCTCCTGTAATAAAGACCGGTCACTGCTGCCCTCTCTCCTTGTGCAGGGTGACTGAGTACTCACCCAAATACTCTGCATTGATAACGATACTAGTATCTGTATCGGTGCATCCCTAGATTACATCATGTGTCGGTTCATCTGTGATATTAGTTTGGAAAGGGGGGGCTTCCTTCTTCTCTTTCTTGCAGAGACACCACCGCTGAAGAATCTTCTGCATCCAATACACTTAGGGGGGTGTTGGTTGTGAGGTCCCCTATTGGGCGCTGTGGTTTCACCTGACGGCTTCTACATCACTGTTGGACATAGTAATAATGTAGATGGAGCCAAAGAGTGCAACGGGGAGCCACTACAACAGGCTCGAAGCAAAACTGAGGCATGGGCTACAACATGGCAAATGCCGTTTAACGTTGAAAAATGTGAGGTCATGCACATGGGAGTAAAGAACATGTGCCCAAACTACAAATTGGGGGGTGCTACATTAGGGAAGCCAGAGATAGAAATAGAGCTGGGGGGTGCTCATAGATCACAGATTTGGGGGTCCTCATAGATCACAGATTTGGGGGTGCTCATAGATCACAGATTTGGCAATAGTAAGCAAAGCCGAGCAGCAGCCAGCAAAAGCTAACAAGATACTGGCGTGTATCAGAAGAGGAATTGTAGCAAGGGATCAAAGTCAAATACTTCCACTTTATAAATCATTGGTTCGGCCCCAGCTTGAGTATGCGGTACAGTTCTGGTTCTGACTCTCAGGAGGGACGTCCTGGAACTGGTAGACATGTGCGATTCGTTTCGTTACGAATCGAAATTCGTACGAATTTTCCTGAAATTCCGAATTTCGGAGCATCCGAAATCCGAATGGCAGTTTCCGAATTATATCCGAAATACGAAATTCCGTTAACGAATTTCGGATCCGAATTTCTTTGAAACAGGAACTAATATTACCCCTGTAAATGAGGTTGAACAACATGATAAGATTTTTTTTTTAATCCGAGATACGGATCCGCTGCTGCTGATGCATTACAATACACAGTTACACACACAGGCAGGAAATTCCGTTGACATATTTTCGTTCCGTTACGAACATTCATTATATTAAAGTTAAGAAGCAAAGTACATTTATATTGGCGTTGATGGTAGTTTTTTTTTTTTAAAGTCCGAAATACGGAATTCGGAATACGAAATCCGTTAACGGAATTCGTATTTCGTTTTGGTTGACCAATCAGAGGTTCTCTTCTGCTGCTGAAAGTTGCATTACAAATACAGGCAGGAAATACGAAATTCCGTTGACGTATTTTCGTTCCATTACGAACATTCGTTATATTGAAGGTAAAAAGCAAAGTACATTTATATTGGAGTTGATGGTAGTTTTTTTTTTAAAGTCCGAAATACGGAATTCGGAATCCATTAACGGAATTCGTATTTCGGATAAAAAAAACAACTACCACATTGACTCCAATATTAACAAAGGTATTTTGCTTTTTAACTTCATCATAACGAATGTTCGTAAAGTTACGAAAATATAACCACCACTAACGAAAATTCGTATTTCGTACGAACTTGAATCCGAATTGAGTTCAGTTACGAATTACGAAATACGAAATACGGATATTCCGAAACGAAACGAAACAGAACAAATTTTTTGACGGCGCACAAGTCTAGGAACTGGAGAGAGTTCAGAGAAGGGCTATAAAATTAATGAAGGGGATAGAAGGCCTGAGAGGACCGCATTCAAAATCTAAACTTATTCATCTTAGAAAAGAGGCCATTAAGAGGGGACCTTATTGCAGTCTTCAAAATCCTCAATGAGGACCCCAATATTAGGAACAAGCTAATTAATCCCAAACTGTATTGGGAACCCAGGGACACAACAAGAGGTTAGAAGAGAGGGGGTTCAATCTCAGAATTCACAAGGGATATTTCACTCTGAGAGTGGGGAAAGTTTGGAACTCACTCAGGCCCGCATTTACTCTCTCTGCTGCTCCAATTCCAGGTTCCTCAATGCACCCCCCTGTATGCAGGCTGCATACAAGTGATCCCAGCGGCATCACCGAGATCACATGTACATAACAAGTGGCGGCTTCCCCGCTGTACATTTTGCTTTGCTTGCCAAAAGCCGGGCTAAATGTAGAAAACAACTACCAGCCCGGCGCCCGGAACTGCATGCCCTGCCTGGGCATCGGGAGATAGGAATTCCACACCCCTGTTGCCCCTCCACTCCCTGCTGCCCCGAGGCCGGGCCTTGGTTTGCCTTGTGGGAAATCCAGCCCTGAACTCGCTACCACAGGCGGTGGTATCTGCAGATAACATTGATAAATTCAAGAAACTCCTGGATGAGTTTCTTCTTTCGCAGAATCTGCAGGGATATGGGAAGTTGTAGAGGCAGATAAACACATAGACACATAGACACAGACACACACACACATACACATACAGACACACAGACACACACACACACACACATACAGACAGACACATACACATACAGACACACAGACACATACACACACACACACATACAGACACACACACACACACACACACATACAGACACACACACACAGACACATACATAGGTTGAACTGGATGGACCTTGGTCTTTATTCAGCCTTACATACTATGTTACTATGTAACCAGCACACCCAGATAACTCCTATGAACACAAGCCCTTAACCTGTCTCATCTACCAAACATAAATCCTGGAATGCTCTAATATGCAAATGTAGACACTTCCTGCTCTGTTCTGTACCTTCCTACCGGCCCTTTATTCTAATGGGAGGGATAACTGAAGTACTATGAAGTCGTTCAGGTGGAGGATTAGCGCCATTATCATTTGATGGGCCGATATGTGACTGTTCTTGGCAACTGTTGGCAATTTTGGCTTTACACTGACACACGGAAATTCAAGCTTCACTTCTATTCTGTTCTCTTAGTAATGGACATCTCACTTTCCTTCAGGCTCTCCAGAAACAGGAATCTAACTTACTCTATGAGAGAAAAGAAGGCCAGAAACCAGAAAACAAGAGCAAAAACCGCTACAAGAATATCCTTCCATGTAAGTTAAGAATTGAAAGGCCAGTTTCAGGTATAGGGGGAGTCATGGGGGGACTGCTGGTGTCCATAGTTTCTGGTTCTTGGCACCTTTGGCTGTTCCTACTTACTTCCATGCCTTAGGAAGAAACCTAACGGATTTTAAAAGCTTGTTTCTTAAAAAACTTAAAGTGGTTCTAAAGCCTCCGGTGTTTTTTGCCTATATCTACTGCTATCAAGCAGTAGATATAGTCAAAAAGTTCAAAACAAAAACGCCGTAACAGCACTTTACACTTACCTTGTTTTGGTTGCGCGCTCCCGTGTGAGAAAACAAAACTGCTCCGGCGGCCGCAAAGCATCTTGGGACGGGCGCATGCGCAGTTCAGAGATGAGCAGAGACGCAAGGTAAGTCTATGGACGCGTGCACCCTCAAGCAGAGAGGAGTCAGCGCTGGATCGGAGAGCCGCCGCACCGCTGGAAGGACAGATGAAAACATGGGGAAAAAAGAACATCTGATTAACCTCTTGCCGTCCGCCCGTTAAGAAAAAACGGACGGACGGCAGACTCGCATCAGCGGGTTGCCGTTTCCAGACTGCATTTTTTTCCTGCTCGCATGCGCCCCCTAGCGCGCGCACAAAGTGAATAAATACCACCAAAAGAAAGCTCTATCTGTCCCCAAAAAAGGGTATAAAATTCATTTCAGTACAGCGCTGCATGACGGAATAAATGTCAGTCAAAGTACCGCAGCGCTGAATACTGAAAAATGGCCTGGATGGGAAGGGGGTTTAACACCGCGGATGTCAACTGGTTAAGAGACATCATTTAAGGTGAGTGCTGACATCAACATGGGGGGAGGGAAAAAAAATATCCTTTAATGTCACTTTAAGTTAGCCAATAAAGGGCATAACTTCAAACTTTCTGCATTAATCAGGCTCTCCTTGGGCAATAACAAGTGCTATTGGTGGGAAAATATTTTTTTTTACCTACTAGGAGATAATAACCTAAATCTGAGCGTCACATCATGTCTGCAATGTCATACAATGCGCACACTCATTTGTCTCTCTGTCACTCTTTGTCTTTTTAGTTGACCACACAAGGGTTGTGTTAAGTTACAGAGACCAAAATCTTCCTGGTAATGATTACATCAATGCCAACTATGTGTCGGTGAGTGTCTGTCGTGGGTTCAAAGAATGGGTGGTCTTATGGGTGGGAGAGCAATCTGATAAGGGGCAAACAATCTTTTTTATCTTATCCATTGTGGGAACTAGGGTGCAATTATCTACATTGAACTGTCCACCATGTTTGCTGTTCTCTGCAGAACCTGCTATGGGGAGATTTGGAACCTCTCAAACAATTTATTGCATGTCAAGGATGCCTGGCATCAACTACAGGAGATTTCTGGGAGATGGTGTGGCAGGAGAACAGTCGGATTATTGTGATGACCACTAAGGAGATTGAGAAGGGCCGGGTGAGATATCAGATTCTCTTTGATGGCTTTTTAATTGGTGGTCTATAAGATCTTGTCAGCTTTCAAATGATTCTTTAGCATTCTTCATGATATCACATTTTAAACTTCACTTACCTCTTTTTCATTTCTGCCCTCTGAAGTATTTACTTCCACCCAGCATTCATTCCCCTCTTCTTCTCTCCTCCAATCTGACTTCCTAATCCAGCCTTTCTTTTTCTCTCACCAGTCTGCCTTACCATTTCTTCCTCTCTTCACCCTAGTTTCTTACTCCTTTCTCTCTTCTTCTCTCCTCCAGTCTGCCTTCCTACTCTCTTTTCTCTTCTTTTCTCCTTCATTCTGCCTTCCTCTTTTCACTCTTTAATCTTCCTTCCTACTCCTTCCTCTTTTCTTCTCTCTGTAGTCTTCCTTCCTACCTCTTCCTCTCTTCTTCCCAGTCTGCCTTTCTACTCATTCCTCTCTTCTTCTTTCCTCCAGTCTGCCTTCCTAATGCTTCCTCTGTTTCTCTTTCCTCCAGACTGAAGTCCTACTCCTTTCTTTTTTCTTCTTTCTCCAGTCAGCCTTCTTACTGCTTCCTCTCTCTTTTTCTTCCATCCAGTCTGACTTCTTACTCTTTTATTTCTTCTCCTCTCAGTAGTCTGACTTCCCACTGCTTCTTCTCTTCTATTTTCTTCTCCGGTCTGACTTTCTTATGCTTCCTCTCCTTTTCTCTCCACCAGTCTGACTTATTACTCATTCACTCTCCTCTTCTGTCCTCCAGTCTGATTTCCTAATCCTTCCTTTCATTTCCTCTCTCCAGTCTGCCTTTATCTAGTCTTTAGTCTATTTCTTCTTCTCTTTTGTCTGCCTTCTTACGCCTGTCTCTCTTCTTCTCTCCTCCAGTCTGCCTTTCTACTCTTCTTCTTTCCTCAAGTCTGCCTCCCTATTGCTTTCTCTCTCCTCCAGTCTAACATCCTACTTCTTCCTCTCTACTTTTCTCTCCAGTCTGCCTTACTACGCCTTCTCTCTATTTTTCTGTCCTCTAGTTGGGCCTCCTGTTTAATATCTTCTTCTTTCCTCCTATCTGACGTCCTGCCCCTTTCCTCTCCTCTTCAGTCCTCCAGTCTGACTTCCTACCATTTCCTTTCTTCTCTCTCCAGTCTTCCTAACTACTTCTTCTCTGTCTTAACCTACCATTTTTTTCCCCGACAAGCTGCCCTTTTCTTTCTCTATTCCTCTTCTCTTCCTTTACTCAGGCTGCCATCCTTCTCATTCTTCCCTTTGTAATCTATCCTTCCTTCCATCCTGATTTTTGCACCATCCTGCCTTCCTGCTCCTTCTTTTTTTATTTTCATATTTTTCTTTCTTCTTGCTCTTTCTTCTCTTCTAGTCAATATGTTTTTCTTCTTCTTTCCACTTCTCCTGTTATTTTTTTACTAACTTCACCTGTCTTCATCTTAGACTAAATGCATACCATACTGGCCAGATGTAGACACAGGAGGAAAAGACTTTGGACGTTTCTGGGTGGAGTTGGTGTCAGACCGTGAAGCCATGGAGTATAAAGTTCGCACGTTAAATGTGTCACTTTTAGAAGATGTAAGTGTAGTGTTCATGGTTGTCACTGCTTATTGTGATCGTTTCTCAATATTGTTATGTCCTTGTATGTCCACCCTAGAAGTGTGCATGGCCACCTTCAGTCTATAAGTCAAAGAATAGCATGTACGCAGCAATGCACAGCAAACAGAACTTATACTGCAACACTGAACAAACTATTCTTGCTGGGAACTCTGGAAGTAAAACACAGAGGCTGATCGGTACAGTTAGCTGGCGCCACATTTGTTTTGTACATTACAGAAGAACTTCAGCCTCGGATGTCTCTAACCATCTGCTTCTCCTTCTGTTGCTCTGAAGTGTTCCTTCAAAGGACACTCTTCCTGTCTGCGGACACCCAGTCTCACACATGACCCAATGACTGTCTTAGACACACAAACCTGGGCTTCATTACAGCTGATGTGTGTTATGTGGTGCATTAACAATATAAATCAACAGCACTCTGTAAATGAAATTTAAAAAAGTCAATTTATTTGGACTAAACGTCACACATATAGCATAATCCAACTTTTTGGGACCACGCAGGGTCCCTTCATCAGACCCTGCGTGGTCCCGAAATGTTGGATTATGCGATATGTGTGACATTTAGTCCAAATAAATGGAAATTTTTTGAATTTCATTTACAGAGTGCTGGTGATTTCTATTGTTCATTGACTGTTGTACATGGCGCCATCCGTGATTGTCACTGCAAGCACCACTATTTTCATTTGGGCCGGAAGCGCTATAAGGAGTGCAGGGGGACCTACTGTTTTCTGTTATGTGGTGCACACAACTTCAATAGAGCCAATTTTATCTGGATGAGAAAGAATTACTCCAAAGCCCACTCTCGCTGCACATTGAATACTAGGAACAGCCGCTGACAGCATACTGTATATAATTGTGTGTTCTTTTTAGTTGTGTGCTCTCTATGTATCCAGAATACGTCAGATAAATGTTAAAATAGTGGAAGAAAGATACTCAGCATGCAGGGGGGGGATAAAAAAAAAAAAAAAGATTGCCACAGACTGAAGTTCCATTTTAAAGGAGAATTCAAGAACAAATATGTGATATATTGCAATCCTTAGATGTGGTGGCTGCATTCGTTTCCAGTGAGTACGGAAAATAGCTGTTGATCTTGCCAGAAATGCCGTGTCCATGTCTAACCTGTTCTAAGGTGTTCTAACTATTCACCACTATACCTACTGAAAAAGTTTTGCCTTGATGTATACTTTAAGATTCCATTGGGCAATTTAGTCCTTTGAGGTGTAGTCAAAGCTAAAGTTCAGTTTTGGTTGGTAACTTCTATATTGTCATACATGATTAAGTCTAATTTGTGAAACATATCAAGTCACTTTATAGAGTACCATTGTTCACGTTCCACCGATATGGTAAAGAATCTCTGAGCCTAGATGTGCAATGCGCCGTCCGTTTTTCTCGGGTCATCATATCCTAAAGATGTCCGCAACTCGATTTGAGTTCCAACCCAAGAAACAATGTTCTCTAACATTCTTCACGCTCCTATATATATCTGCAGCGCAGCAAGTCCAGGGAGATTGTCCACTATCAGTACCTGAACTGGCCAGATCATGGAGTTCCATCTGATCCAGGTGGTGTCCTGAGTTTCCTTGGAGAGGTCAACCGAATGCAGGAGAGCATACCAGGAGCTGGGCCTATTGTTGTGCACTGCAGGTAAACTCAACTTCTCATCAGTCAGGTCTCTGCGCGCAGTGAAATCCTATCTTGTCACACGATCTGATCCTGATGTTACTAAACATCGCTTACATCTGTTCTCTCCTTCCATTTCTTACCACCTATCGGTTTCATTCACAGTGCTGGGATTGGCCGCACTGGGACCATTATCGTCATCGACATGTTGGTGGACATCATTCAAACAAAAGGTAAAGGGATTTTGAGAAGTAACAGTGATTAGTTAACGATACTTTCACTTTAAAACAGTGGTTCCTTTTTCTACAGTGATAGACTCCCAAAGGATTGTCCAATATGAGATGCTGAGGGGTGTGTGGCCAGGCTCATTATCCCACAGCTGACAAGAAGACTAGGATAGGTGTAGTGGCAATAAGCAACCACTAGAAGAAGATGGGAGGTAGTGACAGCCATATTTTCTATGGACAGATGGAAAAAGTGCAACAGATTCCTCCATCTACTCTAAACTGTGTGGATGGAGGAATCACCCACTGGGCCAAGCTTCAGTATCTTGCTAGTCGGCTCCGCTGGCTCTCAAAACACCTGAACATTCTGATTGGATGCCGGCACTGTTCAAGTATTTGCTTTTCATTGTTTTATGGAGTCACTGTTTAGACTTCTCTGCTTCAGCTGTCGGCTAGGAAGAGCTGAAAGGAGAATGACAGAGAGATTACCTCATCTGTGTGCTACTTCTCCTTTCACTGTCCAGTCACAGGCTGGGGGCAGATCTATGATAGCCTGGGCTCAGAGGAAGCCCAGATTTCCAAACCCCTCCAGATTTCCCATTGTCTCCAAAGGTCTAGCCCTCTTCTGACTGCTTCATTCAATCCAGACATAGTGATTGGGAATATAGCACCTGGAAACAGCTGCCATGGACTATTAGGACCTCTTGTATCAATGTGCTCTTGTTGCAGCCAAGTCAGTCATGTTCTCCGACGAAGCTTTCTCCCCACATGTAGGGTAAAGCTGCTCTCCCAAAGCACAACACTTGGTGGCTTATCATCTACAATGGCAAATGTATTAACAATCAATGTTTTGTGAGTAACCCTTTACCCTGCAGGAAGAGGGAGCTTTTAAGAGCTACTTGACACCCCTA